GCTGTCCAAGCCAGCCAGGACACCTGCCCAACCCAGGATCAGCCCCAGAATTGGCTGTAGCATCGCCCCATCCCAAATGCAGGCCAGTTCCACCTGCTGTCCCCACACTTCCCAAAACAGCCAGGTCAGGGGCTTTCCCTGCTGACACGCAGTACCAGCCAGGGGTGATGACCGGGCTGCCAGGATAATTAGCTTTTCTGAAAGGGAAAATGTTTGTTAAAGCCTCAGGGCTTGCAGGCTAATCAGGAGGAAGGCCAGGAGCTGGCGGGGAGCCTGGTGCCGACACGGATGCAAAAGGGTGGGCAAAACGCTGGCCCTTCCCAAGGCCCAAGGCCCAGTGGAACATCCACCTACTGGAGCACACAGCTCTCCCTTGCCTGCCCCAGCCCTGTACCTGCACCAGTTGCAGTGCCCACTGAGCACACACATGCCTGCTACATGCCCATGCCACTCATGACAATGCCAAGGGATGCCAACACCAAATGCTGCTGCACACAGCACACATCTCTCACCACAGCATCACTTGCCCAGCACCAAAATCCTCTGCACTGGCCCCAGGGCCAGCAACAAACCCAGTGCCGACACCCAGGGACACCCAGGGACACAGCCTCACCTGGGCCTGGCAAGGGCTGCCCACACCCCTGTGCCCTCAGGGGGTCACCATGTCCCCAGGCTCCTGCCCTGGACAACAGCTGCTGCAGTCCCATCCTGTCCCCCAGCACCCCACATCTGCTTGGCCACTGCTTTGACCCAGCTCTGGCTCAGCCCATCTCTCTGCCTGCCTCCTGCTCCCCCGCAACCTCCTCCCCCATCGCCTTTGTCTGGAATTAATTCCAGGAGTGATTAATTACCAATTCATGTCCAATCTGAAATTCATTATTCATTTTTCTCACAAGCTCCCCAAGGTCCTCTCACGGGGCCAGGATGAAGGCGAGCGGCAGGCGGGCACTCTGCAGCCGAGGAGATAATGGGATCCTTCATAATTACCCTAAAGACCATTAACAGGGCAGGGATCTATACCAGGAGCCAGGATTTACACTGGAGCAGGGATCCAACCCCCTCTGCTCCCAGCACCAGCACAGACAGGGGAGCAGCCACCAGCATTGCCCCTGGAGCACTCACATCCCCAAGGCAGTTGCCTGCAACAAGGGGCTCCTCCAGGCCCACGGTCCATTTAAATCCACGACCTCAATGCCATTTTATCATTGGCATCTCGTTACAGCAAGGATTCCAGTGTGAGGTTTGTAAGGAATTAATTACTGGAACGACCTAATTAATTGTGTTCCTGCAGATGAGCCTGGCCCCCAGTGCCCTGCCAGCACCAAGGGAGTGGGGGCGCAGGGGACACAGTGGTGATATGTCCCCAGATCCTTGGCAAAGCCTACTCCCAAAGCTGTCACATCCCCAGAGGAGGTGACCCAGAGCTGCTCTGCCTCAGGCAGCTTCCCAGGGTGGGGAAGGAGAGCTGGGGAGCAGCTGGAGGGGGCTGGAGGCGGGTGGGAAAAGGAACACCCACACCTCCATGCAATGTGGCATGGAAAGAGGTATGGCTGTCAGGAGGCAGCAAGCTGCTCCCAAACCCAGTGTGACCCTCTGAGCAGTGGGATTCTCCTCCCTTCTCTCCATCACCTCTACAAGGTGAGGAGCCATTGCTACTCCCAGAGATGATGCTCAGCTCCTACCACTCCTGCACACTCATGTCTGGGGAAGTGGAGACACATGATCACAGGGCTGTGCTCCTCTGGGAAAGAGCTTTTCCCTCCTGTCTTGTTCCTTTTTCCACAAAACAAAGCCAGGTTCTTGAATGGAACAGCTTCTATTCTATCCCACCAATACAACACAAAGAACACATAAGGGGAGGCAAGGGGAAAATAGGGCTGGACCTCCACCCTGCCTGCTGCCAGGCTCCAGCTGCAGCACCTGTACACCCCTCCGAGCACAGCCCAAGCAGGTGTCACCAGGGCTTCACTCCCCCGTGGAAATATCCATCTGGAGCACCTAGCCCTCATCTTCCTCCCTTCCACAAGGAATGCAAAAGCTTGGGGGACACAGACCAGAGCCTGGGGAGGGAGCATCCCAACCAGCCAGGCTTGTTAGCAGCCTATCAGGAGGGAATCGAACCACAAATCGAACCACAGGAGGAGAGGACATGGCCATGCTGTTTGTTCTGCTCAAGACCCCAAAGCTGCTGGCTGCATCCCCAGAGCTGCTGTGGGCTCAGGGGACAACGGCTGAGCGAGCTGCAGGCAGAGGGAGCAGGTTATTAGAAGCAGTGCTGCGCTCCCCACGGCCATCACAGCACTCCCTGTCCCTACAAACTGGGTCACCTGCTGTAATCCAGCAGAGGGAGAGAGGAAGGGTGAGGGAGCAGAGGCCCAACACATGGCACAGGGACCGGCATGGCCAAGGGCACTGCTGGATGGGTGCTGGTGGAGGAAGAACGAAAAGCTGTGTGCCCCACTCACACTCCTGAGAAGAAGTTATGTCCATCCTCCAAGACCAGCATTAAACTGGGCACATAGGCAGAGGGTTAGGAGTGACAGCCCCATAGGCTGAGCTAATGTGAGGACAGAGCAGGGGATCCCATGCTGATGGCTCAGCCACCCCAGTTCACCTCAGCTGGAGTTAGAGAGGGAAACTGGTGTATTGGCCTCAGGACCAGCTCCTCATGTGCTGAGGTTGAACATGTCAGTCCCTGCCAACAGGACCCAACAGGAGAGGGATGAATCTGGTCCCCATAAGCCCCCTCACCCGCAGCCCAGTCCTACATCCCACATCTCCACAGCTTTGCTGAGGTCAGAGCCATCATCCCCAGGGCAGGGACACTGCCCACCAAATGTGATGGGCACCAGCTGCTGTGCTGCCCTTCCCTGCCAGCTCTGCAGGCACCAACAGCTCCAGCTCCTCCGTGGGATGCACCAAGTGACGCATCTCACGGATGTGGACAAGCAGAGCCAGACAGGAACTCCAGTGCAGTGACTGCACAGCTGGGGACAAAGCTTTGGGAAAAATCAGCCCCTCCCAAGTGGGAGTACCCACAACGAGAGCAAGTAACTACTTGTCAGGGTGCCAAGGTGGCCCCAGGCAGAGGGTGACCCAGACACTGCCTGGATTTGCATGGGGCATGACACATCCACACCAGGCATGACACATTCAAACCAGAATGAAAGGTTGTCCCTTGGGAAAGCAGTGCTGGGCTAAGGCTGAGCAGTGTAAAAAGACAGCACTGACAGCAGCCCCTGCTGTAGCCACTCCTGGATTGGACTGCCAGAGCTCTGGAAAGAACAAGATGCTTCCCAGAAGGGAGGCAGGACAGAGGAGTAGGAGGATGGATGCTAAAGAAGCACTTTAGCATGGGAGAAAGAATGAAGGCACTGGCAATGCAGGCAGCAGGGGCCAGGGGAGGGATGGTGGTGCTGGCGGGCAAGGGGACACCCTTACCTTGTTAGGGCTGAAGACAGAGTGGATGCAGCGCAGCATCTCTTTGGTGTCTTCTCCTTGGGGGTCCCCACAGATAACGACCTAATCAGGGAAGTGTGAGTGGCAGGAGGGAGAAAACAGAGCTATGACTGCATCCACGCCCTCACCAGCCCCATTCCCTGCAGCAGGTCCCATAGGGGACACTGAGCCCCAGCTCATACCTGTCTGAGGGTGTGATGGAAGATAGCAGTGGCCCGGGTCATCTCTGGCAGGATTATCGGGATCTTCTGCAGCCTCTCTGAGTAGGCAGCCAAGATCTTCCCAGCTTTTTCCACCCAGTCCATATGGCCAGAGTAACAAGCTGCTCGGAGCAGGTTTGTGACAGTGACAGAGTTGGCAGTGGGCTCTGCTCCATCTTGGTCTGCAGGGGACAGCAACTCTCATCAGCCCAGTGCCTCACCACCCCATGGCTTGGTCCTCCAGCTCAACATCATCCCTGCCCTTCTGAAGCTGCCCCACACCACAACCCATGGAAATCATGGCCATGGCCCCAAGCTCACCATCCTTCAGGCGCAGGAGCAGGGAGGGATCACCAGCCTCGCTGGAGAAATACGCAAAGCCTTTGGGGTCCCAGAAGAGCTTGTCTTGCATGTGCTGGAGATGCAGAGCCCACTCCAGCCAGCCCTGCTCCAGTGAGGCTTCATACAGGTCGAAGAGTGCCTGGATGACGAAGACATAATCCTCCAGGAAGCCCTGGATGGGCACAGCACTGCAGTGAATATGGCAAAGAAGCATCAGGATCTCTACACTGACCAGGTTGGACATTTTCTCCAGCCCAAAAAAGCTTTGCCAACTGGTCTCTGTTACCCAAGGAGATGCCACCAAGATGAGCAGTCGCTGTGCCAAGTCATCACACAGCACATCCCCTCTGTACAGGAGAGGAGGGAAGGGGAAGGTTCCTGACAGCATGGAAGATGAGGAATGGGAAAGGATTTGACCTTAATTTCTCCTCACTAGGTGAGGGGCACTAATCCATACCAAACTGCACCAGAAGCAGTTCTGTGTAAGGCAAACATCCTCCCTCCCTCCAAGATCAGTCCTGCCTGGAAGAGAGTAGGACAGGGACTACTGGGGGTCTGGGCAGCACCTGTGGGGTGGCCAGTCAGTCTGCAGACACTCCCTGTACCACTGCTCACCTCTGCTCCACCGAGTTGTCCTTGCCCCGGTAGCAGCTCCGCAGCAGCCTCCCACTGGCAGGGTCGAAGAGGTGTGTCCTGAGGAATGAGGCTGCCTGTGCAGCCCTGTGCACGTACTCCTGCTCCGCCAGGATGGCCCCAGCCTGGGCAAAGCCCGAGATCATCAGCCCTGCGTAGGCACAGACACGGGGACAGGCTCAATGGGGCACACAGAACCCACGGGCAGGGTCACTGTCTGTCCTTTAAAGGATGATCAGCATGAAGCTCATCCTCCTTGATGCCAGCAGGTCAGGGCTCAGCCACCAGCTCTTCTGCTTGGTTCAAATCACTAAGTCACTTACTGTCAGCAAAGAGATGACAGAGCACTGCAAGGCCAGCAAGAGCTGAGCTTTTGCTTGCAGGCAGAAGCAGGGCTTAAGAGTATTCCTGTTTGCAGGACATGGTATAACTCCAGCCCACGCCAGCTCCAGACCCAAATACTCAGGGATTTACTGCTGTGAATAGTCCCCGGGGTCCTGCAGTTATAACCTGCTGCAGGACATCCTGACAGATAGACACAGAGTTGTGGTCCCCTACTCATGCAGCAGTGGGCATGGGCTCTGCACCCACCTGGGTCCTGAGTCCCTAACTCAGTCCCCTTGCCCAGAGCCTAACCAGGGGAGCTGGGCTGAGCCAGGGGAAGAGTTTTGCTGCTCTCTGCTGGCTACTGGGGAGGAAAATAAAGCCAGAGCAATATCTTAATGCTCAGCAGCTCCATGGCATACAGGTATGGGGCTGCTTCCCCACAGTCCCAGATCCCAGCCCACCCATGCCTCCAAGGGGATTCTCCAGTCCCAGCAGAACACGTTGCTACCAACCCCACAAAACATCCTGGCCCTGGGCAGCCACAGAGGGGTCCAGCCAAGGCATGCACCCCTGGAGCCAAGCTGCCTCTCACCATTCCATGCTGCCAGCATCTTGGTGTCGAGGTGCGGGCGCGGGCGCTGTGCCCGGGCTGCGGAGAG